AACAGGGGCCCCAAAAGGGGAACCCCAAATCTACTACCTACAAGTACACAATAAAAGCAAGAACACGTTACAGAACACACTCTGGCTGACCTCAAGTAAACCAGAGAAAATTACAAAACTCAGCTTTGGAGATCACAACATTGTCCTTGCTTCTGACATAGGCAAATTCATGCCCGAACTACACTAACAGATCCGGTTCTGCAGAACACAAAATGAGGAATACCGACAACTGGAAAGTTGAGGTCAAATGGCGTGTTTGATTTGACATGGGAAGTCGGAATTTCTGAGTTCCCAGTTGGAACTTTCAACTGAAACTCAGGACAACCGCACTACCCCGACTTCGTGATCCAAGATGTCTGTCGGGGTATCAACAGTTAATGAAAGCTGCAGTTTATACTGTTTATTAGCACTTCTGTGAACTTGTGACTCAAATGTTCGTACACAAAGTGCTGTCCAGCTGCTGTCTGTGGACGTGTTGCTACAGTGTTTAGTGTGAGTAAATACCGCACAATACGTTTTTTTTAATCCACCGGTGTATCAATAGCTAACCTGGCTAGTTGTAAACAAACAGCTGGCCGAGCGAGGTTTTCCGACTTGTTAACTGGAACGCCGTCAACTCGGGTGTGACGTCATTTCCAGCTCCGACCTCCGAGGTAAATTGAACGCAGCAATAGCCCCGACCCAAAGTTCACATGAAAATGAGCACCCGAAGCTCATCCCAAACGAACAAGTTGGCCTTCTGCTAGACATGATATACCACAATTCCAGCAACTAAATACACACAAAACTGGAACTATCACAAAAGTGCTAAATCAAAATAGCACACCAACATTTCCCCCAAACAGAGGCTCACTAGCCAACCAAGTCGTCCCAAGACGCACAGCACAAGGAAACAAAGCTACAACCAGACTCATACTAACCAAACAAAGCATGAGCCAAGCGCCTAATGTATATTACCAAAACTAGCAGGCCAAGTCACAGACGCTAACCTGGATGGTTTACTTTCTCAGTGCCAATGTTTTAGTTCACCAACCAGACCAAAATCTATAATAAACCTCAGGATACTTAGACACGCAAGGTTTAAAGGAAATTTAGTAGTACATCATTTAAGATTAGACAAAGCACTGATTTACAGTTTCAACCGTCCCTGTTGGTAACACCCTCACAGAAACAGGCTCTGCCACAACAAGTTTACTTGACTGCAAGACCCCCTGCTCAACCAAAGATGACAAGGTAATATTTTTAATGTCATCCGTACCACTCACTAACACCATAATGCTCTGTGTTCCTGACTAGTAGCTCTCTCTTAAAGCCACTGGTAAATGCCACCATAGGCGCACCAAAAAACAAAGTCAAAGAAGCCACAACAATAACTTACTAGACAGTAATGTCAACTGCAGATATGGGCAAATCACAACCCCAACAGGAACACTTCCCCGTAACTGCCTAGTTAAAGAAGTGGTATTATGCTTGTTGGCTTTTCCCCTCTCCTTTATTGAGTTATATCTTTTTTGTGCATGTTACAGGAAAAAGCCCAAAGTCCAGCCCAAAGGGAGTTCCCATCTCCCACAGAAAGCTCTGCTCTGAACCGCTTGAAAACAGCTCATTTGTAGTCCAGCCCTTCACTTCCTTTACTTGTGACATCACAATGAAAACGCATCATAAAGCTTGCCAAGCAGCTAGCGGGGTCAGGGTCATTGTAGAAATGTTGTACCTGTACCTGCTTCCAGGTACTTTTTTTGTTATATCACCTCACCTCCGTTGAGGTTCCAAGCGAGCTGAGGGATACTAAAATGTAACGTGAAAACACAACAGACTGCTGATTGATCAGAGAGATTATTCACTATTCACTGCATCATCATTGCTGCACCAGACAGAGGCCAGCAACAGAAAGTTTTATATTTTACAGTTTTCGTATGGAATTTCATCACTAAATCCACTTCTGAGAAGGTGAGAAATCAGCTGTGTAGATTTTGAATATTGACAGTTTTACGAGAAGTGATGGCGGAACAAAAATGTGCTTGAATATTTTCAGAGTTGAGGAGCTCCGCGAGTGGCTGCGAGGGAAGCCTGTACCAACCCGCAGGAGGAGCGTGAGGCCGGCCAGCCGCCCGCTCACAGAACCCTCTGCTCCCGCCATCACACAGACCGCTGCAGCAACAACGGCAACACAGCTGGAAGGTTTTCATACCGCTTATCTGTCTTTAAATTCTGCGGAATGTTGAAACGTTTTAACCATAGAAATATTTTAAGAGCTGGTGTGTGTGTCGCATTGAACATTACGTCGCGGCAGTTGTGTGTGGCATCGCTATGACGACAAGCTACGTACTATCTCTGGGTACTACCTGCAATGGAAAACGGAGCAGGGCCGAGTAGAGTCGAGTCGATCGATTTGCGCTATGGTAGCATTTTCAGCACACAAAAACCTTACACCAGTCAGGCACTAAGGCTCCCACGAAAACCCAGTTCACCTGATGCATCTCCCAAGACAAAGCACAAAACCAGCACACAGCTGCACCAAATAACTAATCAGCAGTGCACCACGATCCTGATGCACCAAACCAGTTTTTACTGCACTAACTTTTAGACGAGCCCCCATTTGTAAGTAGGCTATAAGTAGGAAAATGTAGAAGTAGCCAATTAAAAATAAAAGTAGCCAAAGCAGAAAAAAAATGTCCAATATGACTGTATATTGTTATATATTATATCATCAGATTATTATTCCTCATGCATTAGTGAGGTTGAACTATTTTGTATCAGACTGCAATTAATGATTATTTTTATTTAAATTATTTCTCCATTAATCGATTGTAATAGATTCTGAAAATAGTTAGAAATGTTCTTACAGTTCCCTAAGTGACACCTTCACAATGCTTGTTTTGTCAGTCCAAACCTCAAAATGATTAAAAATACATTAAAATAATCAAGTAAAAGCAGCAGAAGCTGGAACCATGAAATGTTTTACATGAAAAATGACTAATACCAAAACATTTGCCAATTACATTTCTGTGAATTAGCCTAACTGATGTAGTTCTACTAGCTGGACTTGTATAAACTGCTAAGTACTTTAATTTATATCAAAACATCCTATTTTTTAACTCTTCATACATTTTGTGTGTAAAAAGCTTGTTTTTTTAAAGCAACTAGTAACTGAAGCTGTCAGATAAAGTAAAAAGTACAGTATTTCCTTTGAGATGTGGTGAAGTAGAAAGTGGCATGAAAAGAAAATACTCAAGTTCAGTACAAATACCTTGTGTAGGGGAGCACGGGGCACAACTAACACGGGGCACGATTGTATGTAGCTGCACAGGGTCGAGCAGGTTGTGTTTCAGGTCAGTTTATCAAAGAGCCAGCAGACAGTCTCTCACCAATTTTTAGAGATATTGGACTCTGTATCATACTTATCTTTTGATTACTGAGCTGTGTGTGTAAGCCACAGAATCCAGTCATGGATTACCTTAATAACCGTCTTTTTACCTAAAACGTGGTACAGTTTTGAAACACCTGACTAACTACTTGCAAGTATTAATCAGGCTTAAAGACACACTAACCAGAGCAGGGTTAGTTGTAACTCTGCGGGACAACTAACCCCTGTCAATATTTATATATATTTTGATGCGTGGATAAAATCCATCTATCCATTGGTACATCCATTTGAATATAAATCCTTGATAGACCATGATTTAGATGAAAAGACATCTCTCTTTCTTTTTATGATATATATTATCATGGATGGAAAGAGATAATATATACAAATATCTATTTATCGACTCATGATGGATGGTTGGTTGAGGGTTAGATGGATGTGTGGAAATCTATCTGTCATATATGGATCCATGAACAGTTCACCTATAATATGTAGATATAATTTAATCAGATAGAATAGTTTTGAATGAACAGACTTTTCTAGCAAGTTTTACAAGTAACCCCTTGTTTGTTACAACTAACCCCCCCATGGGGTAAGTTGTAACATTTCACTCCCTTGACATTCAGTGCAATTGTACAACAATGGTGTTCATTCGCAGCAGAGATGTGTGTGTTGCTTGTATAAAAATCTGATTAATCAAACTCAAATATTTTTTAGTTATTTAGTCCAAAACAAAATGTGTTAGGTTGTGCCCCACTTTCCCCTACTGAAGTACTTTGTTACAGTCCATTACTGGGCTTAGCTTTGGCTACCTGAAACTAAGGAAAGGACTGGAGATGTTTGTGAAAATGTGGGACATTTATGCAGCAAAACTAAAAACTGTAGTTATAAACGTGACAGGATAGACTGAGGAAACTCTACAGAGGAAACAAAATACAACTTTTAGCTTTGGCGCACAGAAGCCGTTGGCATGGTTACTATGCACAGAGCGCCTGCCGTTTACTGGCAGAGCGATTGTCTCTCTGTCTGTTCACATGAGAAGCGTAGAGTGACCCCACGTGGCCAAGTGACTACGCAGGTGGAGTGTTGCTTCCAGTGTGACCTTAAAACAATAGTAAGGCACTAAATACCAAATAACAGTTGGGTGTTGTGAATGATGAATGGTTTATTACATTTGTCACATCAGTCGACAATTTATTAGTCACCTTTTTCAAGTCAGCTCAATTTTTGACAGCTGTTTTTCAATTCACAGGCCTCCACCTCCATTTTATTATTTACTTTTTGTTAGAGACTACTTTAAATGACAAATGCTAATATTGAGTTTTGAATGATGATTGATTTAGTATTTTTATATTTGTCATTCCTAACGTTTCATCTATTTTTTCTTGTGGCGGAATTGGCCTTCCATACAGACGACAGCGCAACACAGGATGCAACCCCGTGTCCTTGGATTAAAAAAATAAAAAATTGTTTCACTCTTGAGTTTTGTCCCGCCTCCGTCTCCGCTGAACCGCTGTGATTGGCTGCGTGTTATGACGAGTTCCGACCGACGCGTAAACTACAGCTGTGATTGGTTGAAATCTCCTGACCTCGACAGAGTCTCCGCCTCATTCCGGCAGAGGACAGGTTGAACATGGCGGCGTCCCTGAAGTGCTTTCTCCGCTCGGGAAAGGTGCGAGCTCATTGAGAAAATTTTCTCTTTGTATCACCACTTTGCGTTTGTAGTTGTTTAATTGAATAATGCCGTCTTTCTGTCTTTCTACAGAATGCCGTGTCGGCTCTGCGGCGGCGGGATTTTCACCGGAGTGCTCCTGCCGCTGTGCAGGTCAGTGTTAGCAGCTAGCAGGCTAACTTTAGCAACAGCTAACACTCCAGCTGTTGTTGGCTGTATGTTTTTCTGTTGTTTCAACTAGAGTTTAATGACAGCTGTCTAATAACATCTGTCAGATGTCATTGTCAGTGATTAACTAACCTGACAAAGTTTTACCTTCTCATTTTAAGTTGAAGGGTTCCTGCTGTCACTGATCGTCCAGTCAGCCCTCTGATGGTGTTTGTTGGATAAACCATTGAACATACTGGTTATAAACTGGGGACTGTGGCTGAGTGCAGACAAAACAGACATTAAAACATTTAGTTGTCCACTTATTATAGGCTGTAGTTTGTGGTGCTGTTGAATTGTGCTGTGTCTTCTTCAATTCAGCTTTTACAAAGATATTTAGCCAAAATAAAAGTATGTAAAACGGCAGAATAATAAAACATGACACAACCATAAACAAATGGGTATCATGTAACCGACAACAAAGACGTTACATCTTTACAAAGTTGAACTGTTTTGATTGCTTTACTACTCTCTAAACCAAATAAAGTTTCAATATAATCTCTGATTACTTTCTTAAAATGTGGTAATTGTGTTTTCGTCTCTACCATTTGCACTTGTGAATGTAATATTTTACATATAAAATAAAGAGGTTTAAGAGGTTTTATATTCTAAAAATCAAATCTAAAATGTCAGAAATATAAAGAGATTTTTTTTTGTCTGTCCAGTTGTCCAAACACTAAATATTTTCAGTTTACAATTTACAAAACAGAGAAAACTGGAAAATCCTCACATTGGGTTTAGATGCATACTTACAAAAACATGGGATCTAAAGCCAAATCATCATGCAGTTATAATTATCAGAACAATCACCCTGGCACCAGAGCCTCAAGCCCTTCTTACACTAAACTATTATCCATTTATTTATGTTTTATCTATGCTAATGAAGTAGTATTAAAAGTACTGTCACAAAATATACTTTTGTAACTTTACTTGCTTTTCTGACTATAGTGTTTTTTTTTTTTTAATCTGCGGAAATTTAAAATAAATTGTACGTAACTGTAAGAAATTTAAGTGGGCAGACCTCATTAACAGCATGGCTATATGCTGATAATGAATTAACACTGTTGTTTGTCTTCAGGTGATGGTTCGTGATGCCCTGAACCAGGCGATGGATGAGGAGCTGGAGAGGGACGAGCGGGTCTTCCTGTTGGGTGAGGAGGTGGCCCAGTACGACGGAGCCTACAAGGTGATGCTCAGTAGAACACAGTGGACATGAAGACAGTTTGACTTGTTTTAGCACATCCACATCTGCCGAGATGCTAACTAGCTTTCAGTTGCGCCTCCTTCTCCCTACCTGCTTCTGTCACAGTTGCACAGTGAGACTGTGAATAGATAAATTTGATAAAGCAGAGGAGCAGATTGAGGAGATAATAGGGTGACATAAAGATGCCCAAATCTGAACATATCGGCAGCTTAACCTGTTCGCTCACTCGTTCATGTGAGGCTCTTCCAAAGGGAAACTACGGTTCATTAAAACTTGGGTTGTTTTGTGTATTTTTATCGGTATTAACACTGTATCACAAAGTTAAAAGCTTGGACCAATTAAAAGAAGTCAAGCAGGGCAAAAAACACAAACACAATTACAATGTAAGTACTATAAAAAGTGTGTGTATGTGTGTGTAGGTGAGCAGGGGTCTGTGGAAGAAATACGGAGACAAACGCATCATCGACACTCCAATCACGGAGGTGAGACTCATTCGCCCTTCGCAAATATACACTAAACTAAATCAGTGTGTCAGTTTCAGCTCTGTGATCAAAACACCCAGAACCATTTTTCACCTGGTTAATCTCTCTCTCTCTCTCTCTCTCTCTCTCTCTCTCTCTCTCTCTCTCTCTCTCTCTCTCTTCTCTCTCTCTCTCTCTCTCTCTCTCTCTCTCTCTCTCTCTCTCTCTCTCTCTCTCTCTCTCTCTCTCTCTCTCTCTCTCTCTCTCTCTCTCTCTCTGGTGCAGATGGGTTTTGCTGGCATCGCAGTGGGAGCCGCCATGGTGAGTTCGTCATCCACGTGACAACACGTTCACTAAACACACATGAATCCCTAACTGTACAATGGTATTTAATTTCTCCAGAATCACATACTACATCTTTAAATCAAGAGCATGAATTAGTCATTTGTGCGCACAAGTTTGATTCTTTTTTTTCTGTGTATGTCGAGACTCCGTACAGACCTGTAGCAATAGAGTAAGACCCTACCTGACTAATTAAACTGGTTATAACTTGGACTAGGATGGACTCAGGTCTTGGGACAGGTCTAGGAATTAGACCTAATTAATTACTAGGAATGAGTAGAACTGTGAAGAAATATATACTGTTTTAAAGTTCACTTAGTAAATACATGAATACATACACTGTCATACAAAACAAAAAGATACCATTTAATTTGTTTAAATTCTGAAGCCACCATGATCATACACAACCGCACACCTCCCCTTCGGCTGTCAGTAATATTGAACTGTTGTCTCCTGCAGGCTGGCCTGAGACCCATCTGCGAGTTCATGACCTTTAATTTCTCCATGCAAGCCATCGACCAGGTCATCAACTCTGCGGCAAAGACCTACTACATGTCAGCTGGTCTGCAGCCGGTACCCATCGTCTTCAGGGGACCCAACGGAGCGTCAGCGGGCGTCGCCGCACAGCACTCGCAATGCTTCGCTGCATGGTGCGTCCACTTACACTGGAAACTGTGACTGTTATTACTGTCATTTGGCCCTTAATACTGTTCTTTCTAGGAGCTTTATTACATCTTGGACTTTCTATAAGTAATAACAACATTGTACTCAAAGTTGACAGCTGAGATCCTTGAGAAATATGTCAGAGTTAAGAAATACGAGCAGTCAGACAATCAAATGGACTGAAAATAAGTCCCGAGAAAGGAATTATCCTGTAATGGTGGTAGCAGTAGTTGATGTAACTGTATGCGATACTGATCTGACAGTGTTGTTGTTGTGTGTGTCTGCAGGTATGGTCACTGTCCAGGTCTGAAGGTTGTGAGTCCCTGGAGTTCAGAAGATGCCAAAGGTCTCCTGAAATCAGCAATCAGAGACGACAACCCTGGTGAGACGCCGCACACTACAGCAGGTCAAAGGTTATTACCAGCCTGAAGGTTTTAGAGGAAGAACATCTACTAAATGCTGTTCAGTCATTTACAGTCTAGTTCAGAAACAAAACTGGTAAATGAAAACATCACTGGAATGAAACTTTGCTGTCTGTCTTGAGTTATCTTGCAGCTCATTTCAGCCTTTAACAAACCTGCTGCAGTCAACTATAGGAAAATGCTAGTATTTTACTATACTATGAATTACTATGATTGGCATGAGTAGAGAGTCCCTCTGTCCCACCAGACAGAAGTCAGGGGTTTACTTTTTAACAATAAAAAAAGTTTATTGTTTAGTCTCAGAAAGAAATGTAAATTGGTGTAACACAATGTAATTTAGTTTCGCAGGAACCTGGTACATAAAGTCAGATAATATTATATTTATTTACTAAAACATATCTCCCACCAGTCCTGTCTCATTTTTGCTTAATGCTTAAGAATATCTTTTAGAATATAAACAGTAAATCGAAATATTCACGATGCCTAATAATATTAATAATTAATAATATTCAGAGGAGCTGAAAGGCTTTCCCTCCTCTAAGGCAGCTTCTATGTGGCCTGACAGTAGAAACTAAGAAAAATTAAAGCCCACAAAGTTGTTGCAGCTGGACAATAACAGGGACACAGTTTAAAGAGATTTTGGTCTCCGGTGGAATTTAAACTCTTGTCATTACCAGAGAGACATTAACAGGAGGTGGAGTGGACTTTCTGTAGTGTTTAATGTTCCTTGAGTCAGGACACTCTAAATTTAAGGCCCTTATCACATTTCTCATTTCAAGTGTCTCATATCCAGATGAGATTTAAAACTCTTTAAGTTGCACTGATCTACACACAAAGCGGATTGCACTCCATCTTGGTTTTCCCGGGCTACATGGAAACCAGGTTTGGTCCTACTGCAGTGGGTGGTGATGCATTTGGTTTGGTAGCTGCCAAAAACAACAGAAGAGAGTTCACAACAACATCTGACAACATTGATTAAGCACATTTATGAACTTAGAGCAAGACTAAATCTAGCTAGTGGTTTGCTAGCTAGCTGTCTTTCGTCGTTCTTCTATTTCAAGCAACAGGGAGAATGACGGCTAATTTCGGGGCAATTTTATCACAGGGGACAGACCCTGGCAGTGGTTATTTGCTCAAAGCCCTTATTGACATAGTTACATTGTAAATAAAGACATGTAAATGGGGTCTGTGTCATTGTTGTCACTGAGCTCTGCCTCACTTTGTGTGTGTTACAGTGGTGTTCCTGGAGAACGAACTGATGTACGGCGTTCCCTTCGAGATGTCGGAGGAGGCACTATCCAAAGACTTCACCATTCCCATCGGCAAGGCCAAGGTGGAGAGACAAGGTGAGGCTGACACAGGATGCTGACGTTGTCTTGGGGCACAGAATTCATGAATCCATCCTCACTGTGGTGACCGGACTTCAGGAAACTGTAATGTTGTTCAAAAACAAACAGTTCTAGCATGTAGATCTGTATCCTGAAGTTGATATTTCCTAAAATGTTGGGATGAAGATGTTGAGGTAAAGGTGAGGTGGGTTCCCATGAACTGTCTGTGTCACCGTTGTGTTCCTGAACCTTTCTCATCTTCTTCTCCTTTCTGTGTTTTAAGGGAGTCACGTGACTTTGGTCACTCACTCTCGGTACGTCAGTCACTGCCTGGATGCTGCTGCCGTCCTCGCCAAGGAGGGAATCGAGTGCGAGGTAGAGAAAGGAACACACCTGTTGTTATCTGACACAGCTGACCTGTGCAGAGGCCTGTTAAATATTTCCTAAAATGTTTCTGTGTCAGGTGATCAACCTGCGGACAATCCGTCCTATGGATGTCGAGAGTATTGAGACCAGCGTGATGAAGACCAACCACCTGGTGACGGTGGAGGGCGGCTGGCCTCAGTTTGGCGTTGGAGCTGAGATCTGCGCCAGGATCATGGAAGGTAACAACTGAGTAGCTAAAACACCCTTTTCAGACTTTGAATTGCTGCTTCGTAGTTTAATGGATCGTAGTTGACCTTTACGGCCCCCCCAAGCGGTTCGCAACACAGATTGATTGCAAAGTTTAACCGTCATTGTGTCGTGATGCAGAGTTGCAGTTAAAAGATAGAAAAGACAGATTCATGTCATGTTTAACTTTGATTTAAAAGCTGCCGCTTTCGCCTCAATTGACTGAAACCCGGTTGGCTGTGACTTTGGGCGTTTTCAGCGGTGTGTAACAGGGACACTGTTAGTTTCAAGCCTTAAATGTCCTCAGTCACCACCACTCATGGGATCAGCTATGTTCGTTGATAGATGATAGATATTTATTGGTCCTTTCGGAAATTCATAGTGTGTCATACAGCAAACAACAGACCAGCAAACCGGGTACTTTCTGATCAGGTGCCATCGTGCTGTTGCCGAGAAGATATAAGTTTCATTTTACGGTGGACAGATTGTAACATTACAGAGTTGTTGTTTTCTTTAGTTTGAAATAATCCCATACTTTGGACACTTTCTTCTTTGTCCCTCGCTATTTTCACTCCTCTACTTTGTAAATAGCGTCAGATTTTTGCTCTTGAGTGAAAGTTGAGGAAACCTGATGGTTAATTGTGGTTTAAACTCTTCTTTGTTGTCAACACTTGATGCCAAACAGTGGATCACTTCACAAATCTGAGGTAGAACATTCAAAACAATTATGATAAAATCTTTAACAAATATGAATGAGTAAAATTAAGTAAAAGCTTTTTTTCAGTCCTTTTTAAACATCTTTAAAAGAAATTCTAATATGTGTATGATTCAAGTGAATAAAATCAAACATTTATTGAATATTTATTGAACATTTATCGGTTATATTGGGATAATAATTGTTATTGTTTTATTGTCCTGCCCTAATCTAATCTTAAACCTTTTACTGGCTAGTATATGTTGTTATACTTGTTATACTAGAGAATAATGTAGCTGAATGACGGCACTTCTGATAAACTGTATCCACTCTCCCTCAAACACCAGTCACAGTCTGAAATCTACTTCATAACCAAATGTATTTTTCTGTTTTATTAGTTAATAAGATTAATTAATAAAACTCCCCTTGATGGTGTTTACTGTCCAGTTAACTTCCTCTGTGTGTGTGTGTGTGTTTTTAAGGTCCTGCCTTCAACTACCTGGACTCTCCGGTCACCAGGGTGACCGGCGTCGACATCCCCATGCCGTACGCCAAAATCCTGGAGGACAACAGCCTGCCGCAGATCAAAGACATCATCTTCTCTGTCAAAAAGACCCTCAATGTCTGAGACACATGCACACACACAGGACAAACCTACCTGAATCCTCTTTGTCTTGTTCACACAGATGGTTGAAACATTGTCTGATAAAACATTTGAACCATGTGTAAATACAGCCAAATGGTTCCTTTTAAAAAAACGTAGCCAGATGTTGGTCAATGAAACGCACAGATGTTTGTCTGCACCCAGAGCAGGTCAACACACAGAGTTCAGTCAAGTTGTTACCTCTGTTTATCAGTTACAGACTTGACCAAACTCAGTGTGTGGCTCTGGCTGCTCCCTCCTCTTCCTCCCCTTCATAATAAAAGTTGCTCTCTCCTATAGGCTTTTCTAAGGAAGTTTGGTTACAACAAAACTGCTGAGCCAGCACAAAAAATATCAGATTTGTGTTTTGAGAGACTGACATGTGTCTGTAGAGTCGTGTATCAGTCAGATTCTTCAACTTATTTAACTACCTATTATTATATTTGACATTGATGCCACCCCATTTTTAATATTTCACCAACTAAGTATTGAGAAAAGTGCTCATGCTCTTTACCAAAACAGTCTGAACTCTGATTCAGACTTAGAGACAACATTTTTGCTCTCAGTAGTTTTGTTGTTAATAAACTCCCACATATTTCTAACCACCAAAACATATAGTGGTCTATTAGCTTCATTCCTCACAGCGACTTGGATTCGTTTAAAGGCAGCAGTGAAGAAGAATGAACCAGCTGAGTGCTGGAGGTGGTGCGTGGTCAGGAATATTTATTGTAGCTGCAGCAGCTCTGTGGATGTTTTTGTTGCTGTAAATGAATCTGTTACAGAAATAAAAACCTTTCAGTCCTTCATGCTTCTCCATTCTTTCACACTACTTCTTCTTTGCCTCCTGTTCTTAGCAGGTTGAGACCCCTACTGTCCGATTGGTTGGTTTGTAGACATGAGTCATAGTCAGTCTATATCTTCAAATGTATTAGTCTCACAGGTGTTTTGTCTGCCTGAATGATCTTTGCCTTGAGTGAAACCAAGCCGTACATGCTAACTAGGGTTAACAACTGTCACGTATTAGCCGGGGTGTCCCTTATATTACAGCAGCAGTGCTGGTCAAGACACCTGTCAATGGTCACGACACCTGTCATCATCCAATCACAGCCTCCCCTCACGCGGTAACATTGGGCAAAGCTAAAAACAGGCTGACACACATTTTCCCGTTTCCATCAGTTACAATACACGAACGTGAATTTCGTGTTTTGCATGTTGGAGCTTCCATGGTGACAGCATTATTGTCTCTGATGAGGACTGCACCCCAGAGCCAAACACAGACCGGGACATGACCCGGGTCGAGGCGAAGCAGAGGAGGGAGGGCTGCCGGGGTCCGAGGAAGAAGAGGCAGGACGGGGAAGAGGAGGAGGTGCAAGCCGAGCAGGACATACCTGCGTCGAGCTTCACACTCCAACAGCAGCATATGAACAGATATATATATATATATATATATATATATATATATATATATATATATATATATATATATATATATATATATATATATATATATATATATATATATATATATATATATCGTGAGGTGTATCGTCACATCCCTAATCTAAGCCCTTATGTCCCCACTACTTTTGACTTTTGAACACAAAGTGACGCCCTTGTGTGTCAGTATCTTTGTCTTGTTGCAGTAGACGAATGGACGTCTTCTATACAACATGTAAGCTTAAAAAAAGACCCCTCTTCTCTGTACTTTTCTCTGCTTGCGTATCCTACTCACCTTTTTTACCGCTGGCCAGTTTGCATGCCTGAGAGTAACTCCACTCTAAATTCACCATCTTATTATGATACATTGACTCTGGTCCAGACTACAGTGTTCATAATAACAGACGTTAATTGCCTTTTTCTAGAGAAAATCAAGCAACATCAAGGCTCAGTTGAAAAGAGAAATAATCTCAATTTGCATTCCACTTTAAATTTCTACTTGAGTAATAGTACAAAAGTACCTGCAAGTATCAAAAATACTTATAGTATAGATATGTTTGTCGGGGGCTGCTGACATGACAAACAGAATTTAAAAATACAGTAGGCAAACATTCCTATTTATTAAACAACAGCATTCAACGGGTCGCCCTTTCAATTATATTTCAAGTTACTCAGTTATATGTGTCAGGGGTGGGCGAAGTATTCAGATCCTTTACTTAAGTAAAAGTACTAATACCACACTGTAAAAACCCTCTGTGACATGTAAATGTCCTCTATCAAAATGTTACTAAAGTCAAAGTATGTACGTATAATCAGGAAATGTACTTAAAGTAATAAAAGTAAAGAACTAATTGCAGAAAGATAAAATGTGACTATTATTACTATTATATTAGGTTATTATTATTATCATGCATTAATGTAAAAGCAGGATTTTAGTGTTGCAATTGTTGAGGGGGAGCTCATTTTTGTATGGAAGTGCAATTAATGATTATTTTCATTGTGTATTAATCTGCTGATTTTCTCCATTAATTGATTTTTTTTAAATTCTAAAAATAGTGAGACATGTCATCACAATCACCCAGAGTGACATTTTTCACAATGCTTGCTTTGTCTAACCAACAGTATAAAAACTCAACATTTTTACAAATAAATTAAAATAATTAGGAAAAGCAGCAAATCTTCACATTTGTGAAGGTGGAACCATGAAAAAAATAATAATTTCAATGTCAATCTAATAATTGTGTCAGCTGTAAAATGTCGGGTAGTTGAACAAAAGATATTTTATTAAGTTTTCATATGTTTTGTGCGTGAAAATCTTCCTTTGCAAAATAATTAGTAACATAAGCTGTCAGATAAATATAGTGAATTAAAAAGTACAATATCTCCCTCTGAGATGAGTAGAAGAAAATGGCATGAAAAGAAAATACTAAGTAAATTACAAGTACCTCAAATTCGTACTTAAGTACAGAACTTAACTGTCCATCACTGTTAACACCAACGGCATCAACTGAGTCACTGACAGAGAAAAGAGAAAGTTGAAGCCTTAAACATTTTTATTGGCAAACTTTTACAGTAACCAGTCGAGATCTGAGGATCAGCATCAGACTCACTGAACATCGGACCAACTGTCAGACAACACATCGGCCACAGTCCTCCTCAACTCAAACACATGAAAATATAAACATTTGCCTTGAGAAACTCAGAGAACAAACCCTGGTTACTAATCAAACTATATTACAGTGTCTCCTCGTTCAGAAACTTCCATTTTAGTTTCTGACCAGGAGAGAAAACTTCAGCTGAGTTTTTACAAATGGTGAAATTAGTGAACACCTCAACGTTTTATTTATGGTTCCTTCATTTACTAACAATTTCCTGGACAGAACCATGTAATCTGGTACTAATTATAGGAAACAATTGGACACTTTAATCTCCATGTCTGTAGACAAATTGGACTTCCATGTTCAGCTGACCTGCTTTGACTCAAATACGAAGCTGCTATTTTAGGGAAACCATTAAACATTGTCTCCTTGTGTGGCACCACATTACATAGTCCTTTCTTTGAAATTATTAGGAATTGGGACATGGCTCTTATGCTATGTTTATGTCATTCTGGAGTTACCATAATTACCAGTTGTTCAAGAGAACATCCAAGTTAGCACTTATTGACGTGGCGCTTAAAAATCTGTAAATGCCTGAAAACCAAACTCATTTTGTTACGTCTGTTGTAATATTTATTTAATGTTATAGTGCCATGTTGTAGCGTGACCAACTCTGTAATCATACAACCACCTTAAGTTGTCAGACAATGTGAACGCTCGCACATGACGTGAACACGGCATAAATACCTCGACATGCTTCAAACAAGCAAGGTCGTTTGCGCCGCTACACGTGGGTCGTTATAGAGTTCTGTTTTAACATGTACAAGCATCGTCTATGTTTTTATTATTTCACCATCTGAACAAAGGCTTTTTAACGTTTTGACAGAATAGTGCCTTGGACTGACTGACTCTTTTTTAAAGCATACTGAAGTGTGTTCTGCTGGATTTACTACAGCCAAAAAACAATCATGGTGATGCATTACAGGTCCTTTCCTCAGGTGTGCATCCGCTCTGCTCACAGAAACAGTTTAAAACAAACAAATGGTCAGCTTCAGTAAACAAAAAAAAACATCCACACTGTTCAAAATAAAATAAAACATTTTCTGTTCCTGTGACACTATGAACTTTGTGTCAGAGAAACCAAACTCGGAACTGAAAGAAAGTTTAACCCTAATCAAGATTAGAAAATAAAAGGCTTTTTACTTTCTGATAGCTTTCATCATCCCACAGCTGGATAAACATAAAGAACAGAACATGCTGCTGCAGCTGGTCGCATATCTGTAACCTATCTTTCTACATGTCCTGTTAACCGAGCTGAGTTTTTCCTCTTATGAAGGCTAAAGGTCAAAGAAACAAATACAAAAAAAAAAAAAAGATAATTTGGTACTAACGCCACTGAAATATTCTGAGTACACATAGTCACTACCCATTTATCAAGAAGATGATACTGTAATCAGCCTCTAAGATAGTTTAACTGTTTGTAAAGTGTGGAGTTCAAACTCAATATCAGCATATTGTTGTTGGGTTTTTTTTCATTAATATGTTTCCTTTTTGTGGACCGGCATTTCATTACATATTTCCTACAGTTAGTCCCAAATTACTTAGTTTTGTCCAAAAACCTAAGACTTGAAAACTACATATCAGTTCCCTTTTGGAACATTTTGGAAGCCGCTTCCATCATATATGGAAAGTGGAACAAAGGAGGAAGTTGGTTGATCTAGCTTATCTGACCATCAGGGGTAAAAGAGATGCACATAAATCATGTGATCAATCAGCTGTTTCATTGTTAGTCTCCGTTTTGTGTTTCAGAGGCTTTTCTGGCTCAAACTGATTATTTTTTTAACATCAGAAAATGTTTTAAGTAAAGCTCTCATTAGTTTCCCTCTACATTTACCAATGACCTACAATTCCCAGAATTCCTTTCAACACCCCCCAAGAGAAGAGGACTCTGTCCTGCTCTCTAATTGGAGATGTGGCCTGTTAAGTTCTTGGGCAGAGCCTACAGAGTCTTGGGGAGCTGATAGGTCAGATCGTCCTACTTCTGAGTGTCCCTTTAGCAGGCCAAGCCTCACCACCACCACCCGCCTCTTCTTCTGCTCCAACCCTTCATCCTCCTCCTCCTCCTCTCTCTCCTTCACCTTTCGTTTCCCTCTCTCCTTCCTCTTCTCTTCCTTCCTCTGTTTCTTCGCTTTCTTCTTCCTCCTCTTCTTTTCCATCTCTGCCTTTTCCTCCTCTGCTTGATCCTCCTCTTCCAATCCATCTGGCACTTGTTGCTCTTCCACTTCCACTTCTACCTCCTCTACTGCCATCTCAATTTCCTCCTCCTCTTCCTTCTCTTCTTTCTCATCCACCTCTTCTTCTTCCTCATCGTCATCCTCCTCGTCATCATCCTCCTCCTCTTCCTCCTCCTCCTCTTCCTCTTCTTCTTCCTCCTCCTCCTCCTCCTCCTCCTCCTCCCCCTCCTCGATATCCCCTTCGACATCTGCCATGTGCTCTGCTTTCATCTGCTCTTGTTTTATCTTCATCCTCTGTCGTCCATTCTGTGTTGGCTGACAGGAACAGAGCACAAAGTTAAGAAACAAAACATCTGATCTGATGCCCCCATCTGGTTGAAACAATAATTACACAGGTAAATTAAAAATGCTGGATGGAAAATTAAAATTCTACCGTGCCATTCTCGATCTACAACAGCGTATTAGGGACATTGTAGATTAAAACTAGAATGGCCGTTTTCTAAAGAAAATGTGTGTGAGGGGTGCCAGCTGTGGCTGCTACCGCTGCAAACTGCTAATGAGCAAATTTTCAAATCCTGTAGTGCTACCTACAGGTTAACGAATCTATCATATACCACAGACTAACTCTGTTAAAACATAATTGTTCGGGGTTTGCACTATTTGGTTAACATGCCCTGAGCAGGATTTGATCCTTCAATGTTCGGATCTGAAGGGCACGACCTTGATCCAAGACAAACGGTGCGGGAGGAGATAGATGCAAAACAACCACAAACTTATTAGAATAAAGAGGGAAGACAACAAAAGTGTGAGAGCTACCCTAACCCCAACCCTTCACTTCCCCGTCATGTCACTTTCTGTCTGTGGATCGCGGCTACACTGGGTGGAAACTGAATTAGCGCAGAAAGTTCTCCTTAGAACAGCGCTCAGCAATAAGCGGCCAAAACTGGCCCACCAACAGTTATTTACATAATCACTTCCCCTTTAGTGATTTTGCCTACAAAATAAAAGTGTGAGAATTTTTTTGCAGCAATTCTTTATTTCGAATTGAAAGCTTTACTTTGAAGGACATTCAAAATGGTCTGTGGCTTGCTTGAAACACCTCTAAAATAGCCGTCGGAAAAGAGATTGAGATTGGAACGGTTAAACATTTTCAATTCAAAATTGGGATTGTGAAGAGGGCGATTAAATTGTAGGTTCATTATACAGCACATCTGACCCATTTTAAACAAACAGTCATGCAGTTACAAATTCATTCTGCTGCCATCCTTGTGTGACAGACCTGCTCGCCAATCACAAGCGCTATGTGCCTCCCGTTACAGTCCTACTCACCAATCAGAGCGGGCACAGGGCGTGTACATTTTTACATAACAAACGAAACCAGATCGAAACGTGTATGATAATGGCGTCAGGCTAGCCGACACGGCTGTCAACTCATAGTAAAGCGTAGTTCACACTGCACGATTTTTAGCCGACAGCCTGTGATCGCGGGTAAATCAGCGATCGATCAGCGGTGAACTATTCAACGACGCATCAAAACAGCTCCCCGACACATTTCTGACAAATCGCCGACGTCTTCCAAATATCTAGCACGCCAAATATCTGGAAGAGTCGGCTGACTCGACATCCACATCCAGCCAATGAGAGCAGGAAGCTACTTTTCACCGAAAAACACTTTTTACTGACATCCAGCTCTCTCTGTAGCTCAGACAATCCCTGATACCTGCCTGCGCTAATCCTTTCTTTCACTCATATTCTCTCTCTTTATAATAACAAACAACAGCTGTATCATGTGTAGGTTCCCGCACACAGCCGCTGTCAGCGCGTGTAGTGTGTGACCCTCTGTCACCGATCAGTCGACTTCAAGACTGTCGTCACAAGACGGCAAGTTGTGTAGTATGAACGAGCCTTAAAGTGTTTCAGCAGCGAAGCGTTTAGCATGCTCTATATGGTTGACCTGTTGTTAATTTGTCCTTTCTTGTGCTTCAAAGACAGATAAAAGCTCTCTGTGAGCAGGTTTTGTGCTGCTCTGCTCTGGCTGCATTTTCCACATTTCAGAATAAGAGCGTTTTCGCCTTTGCAAAGTCAGGCGACTTTGCTGAGATGTTCAGATTTTGTTGATTTGTTCGGTTGTCCTTGATTTTTGTGCTTTTACCATGGTTAAGTAGGCTACGTGGTTAAATTGTTTATTTTTTGTCTGTTTTAACAGTGTTAATACACGATCTGGAGTCTGCACCTGGGGGTTATATTTTGAAAATCGACCGGATTCTCTATGCCTTTCTGTCTGACTTTCTGCCTGGTAGTCTGCTCTGTGCTGCTTGACACAGCTTCTGACAAAAATAGACTGGCAGTGAATATTGAACTTAAGCTAAACTTAAAATAAATAAAAATCACAAATCTAATCGTAATATATCTGGCAGAAAAAAATCGCAATTAGATTTTTTGCTCAAATCATTCAGCCCTATGAGAAGCACAGGAATTTTCTCTTCCTGGGGATTCTGGGCAAATGAAAAAAGCTATAGGTTGATGGATGTGGATCAATCACTGGGATGCCCACACTCCCAACACATCATTATTGTGAGCAAGTGAAACAGTCTCTTCATTATTAAATTGTTGAAGAAGGAGAGAAAACATTACCTGCGATTGAGAGGCTTGTGCTCTACTGACTGAGCTAACCGGGCAAACAGGAAAAGAAACCAAACTAAATGACGTGTTCTGTCTGTCAATCTCATCTACATCCTAACTTAGCCAGACTCATTTCACAAAAACTCCCAATTAGTTTTGAGGCTTACATTAATTATATGCAATAAAATGTAGACACCAAAAAGCATTAAACATCTCGCCAGCATACAGTGCAGCTACCGTTAGGCCTAAATGTGGGGCATGCAGATTTTGACAAAGCCCTGGGGGAGGGTGAAATCACTGTCCCTGTCCAGCATGGGCAAGGGGGGTAGCCTGCAAAGCACTAGTTGGATCTGGAGTTCATTTGAGCACAGCGTCTGTGTTCAATTCATCCACTAACTAACAAACCAATTTCTTGCAAATGTATGACTTTATAGTCTTAGAGGATATCAGAGTTTTTTCTCGTAAATTTAAAACTCTAATCTTGGAAGTTTCGAGGTTTTTCTCAAAATATTACCCTTAATGAAGTGATGTGTTAGACATGAGAACATTTTGACCTGACTTGAAGAAAAGTCAGAGGATCAGCTAAATATTAAACCGCTGGAGACTTGACGCAAATAAAAATTTCTGTTGTTGTTTGAAACATTAATTGTCATTAATTACAAGGTAGCTAATTTCAGTTAATGTTACCTGATGCTTGAAAACCTTATTTTTGTTTGCCGTTAGCTGTAGCGATTGGTTTGGAAGATACTAAGTTGCCAGTGTAGCTGGTGAGAGACCGACTGTCAGCAAATCTCATGAAAAGACAACAACCAATAATGTGCTAATCTGTCTCTTAATACATTTGGACTTCCCTACTCATTTATAAAAACAGTTCATTAATTTCCCAACAGATCTGGATGTTGCAGTTTTAAACAACTGTTACTCAAACAGGAGGACATAGTGCATAATCTGCACTCTGCGCATGCGTTGGCGTCTGTAGCTACCTGTCGGAAGCTCCGTCTTAAACCGGACTCTTATCCAGTTTTAATCCACTCTTTTTCGTTACATTTTTTATATCCTTGCTATTTAACTTAAGTTTTTAACTTAAGTTTTACGTGGGTTAAGGATTTTAGTCATCCGACATTGATTTTAATCTAGATGACTGTAAAAACGCGATCAACGCTACTGACCACAACAAAGCTCCGGCGGCTATGCTAGCCGAGATAACTCTGCCCCATGAGGACTGCACACTCCTTAAGAAAGCGAACAAGAAGATTGCTGACCTTATGGAAGACATCCGACGACTTTCAGAGGAACTCAAAGAGAAAGATTCCCTGCTGACTGGCTTTATGGATGTAGCTTCAGTACAAGCCAAACAGATTGTTTCTCTTAGCGCAACCGCTAACATCCAGGACACCGTGTTATGGGACCCCTCTAGCCTTCCCAGGCTTTCATCCTGCTCGACTCCAAAGCATCAGTCAACCTGGCCTGAAGTGGTGGTCCGTGGCTGCAAGAGAGGCTCGGATGGGGCTGCCTCTCCTCCGCACATCCGCCTCTCCAACCGCTATGCAGCCCTGTCTGAAGACACTCCGGTCCATCCAGCGGATGCACCTGCGGCTTCAAGTCTCCCTGATACGGATCTCTTTCGGCGGACAGTGCCTGCCGACACTGTTGCATCTCCTCCACCGGCTACATCTCCCGCGCTGAGCCGCCGGTCTGCCACTGGGCCTGAACGGCGGCCGCCATCCTGGTCAAAAACCTCCGCTTCCCGACGTAGGATCCTGAAGGAGGCTGTCCTCAGACGCTCCGGAGGCCGTCTCTACCCTGCACCGTCGGGTAGCCCTTCTCTCAGGTCTGTTACTGCTACTCCAACACAACACTCAACAGCTCACACACTCCATCCTCAGTCTGCACAGTGTTGAAGCAGATTTTGCTCAGTCCTGCTCTGGAACCACACAACCGGCATCTCCTCGTCCTCTTTTCTCCCCAACCACACTAATAATTGGTGACTCCATAACCAGAAACATCCGTTTCTTTAACGCTACCACTCGCTGCTTCCCCGGTGCCACCACAGCTGACATTTTAAAAAAACTCCAGGACCTAATGCCATCGCTCCCGTCCTCCATCACAAGAGTGATAGTCCATGTCGGAACAAATGACACAGCTCTTCAGCAGTCTGAGCTGACAAAATCAGATTTTAACCGTCTTCTTAACTTTTTAAAGCAGTGTGGAAAGTCCGTTTTTATCTCTGGTCCCATTCCCAGTCGGTCGCGGTGCTGGCCGCTTTAGTAGACTCCTTGGCCTCCACGACTGGCTCCAGTCCGCCTGCAGGGCTCACCGTGTGTGTTATGTGGATAATTTTAATATTTTCTGGCAAAGAATGTCTCTTTTTAAGACAGACGGACTTCACCCAAACAAACGGGGCTCAGAAATGTTAGCTGCGCACATACAGCATGTGGTGCGGTCCACACATGACTTATGTGAATGACTAATCATTCATGCAGCACACCTGGACACACCAACGCTCACTGAACAGAACTCTGCCTCACTGCCACAAACAACTGTCTCCACCTGCTGGCATGTAAAGCCGTCTGCTCCCAGCGCTGTTCAAAAGACTTCTATTCCTGTCATCATCACACATAAGCCAGTAAACCAAAATGTGCACATCCCACACAGAAATATTAGTAATATCTTAAGGATTAGGACAACTGCACCAACTCCAGCACCCAGAACAAACTCATTTAAAATGGCTCTCTTCAATGTGAGATCTCTGTCAAGTAAGACTTTTATCTTAAATGATTTTATCTTGTCTGCAAATCTAGACTTTATGTTTTTAACTGAATCCTGGTTGCAAATGAATGACTATAGCCAGCTAGCTGAACTGTGTCCACCTCAATATGATTGTTTTAGTCAACCGAGGGTCAGTGGTCGTGGTGGTGGGTTAGTGAGCGTGTATAGGAAAAATTTAAAATGTAATCATGTACGCTGTGATGAATTTAACTCATTTGAAGTTCTCACTCTAAAAGTTGGAGGGCTGCAACCTATCATACTTGTTATAATTTATCGCCCCCCAAAACTGCCTGGAGGAATTTTATCAGAACTTCCTGAATTTTTATCTACTCTGGTTTTAAAATATGACAGAATTGTTCTTTGTGGCGATTTTAATATTCATGTTGATGACCCCAACAATGTTAATGCAACTGACTTTTTAAACATGGCCACTTCTTTTAACTTCAAACAACATGTCAAAGGGCAAACACATAACCGTGGTCATACACTGGACTTGGTTTTTACCCTGGGTGTCAGCATTTCCTCTGTGGAATTGGTGGACATGACCATATCTGACCACAGATGTATTGTTTTTAGCTGCGATTCGCCTGTTACTCATGCCGCCTCACCAAGCTCCGTGTGTTCTTGCATCTTTAATGAACAAAGTGTTTCAAAGTTTTGCGCATTCTTTCAGAGCCAAAGCCAACACCTGTCTGATTCCAACACCAACAATCTGGTCGATCACTTCAATCATATCTGCTTGTCATCACTAAATATTACTGCTCCTCTAAAGGTTAGGCCTACGTCTAAAGCTAGTAAGCAACCCTGGATAAATGACAGCATTCGCAGCCTAAAAAGGGAATGCAGGAAAGCAGAGCGTAGATGGAAAAAATCCAGTCTCCAAGTCCATTACCTCAGTCTGAAGGATTTATTAATTAACTACAATAACATGGTTAAGGATGCGAGAACACACTATTTTTCTCTACTCATTACTACACATAAACACAATCCCAGGTTTCTGTTTAAGACTGTGGATCAGCTGGTAAACCCAACCCCTCCTTGTGCCTCAGTTGGAAGTAATGATGACTGTGAATTGTTTTTATCTTATTTTACCAATAAGGTGGTGTCAATCAGAGCCTCTATTACCCCCACGCCCTCTTACTCAGAGGTTCCTCATCAGCAACAAGAGAGTTTTAACTGTTTTATCCCATCGACTTGTCTGAGCTTTTAAAAACAGTATCACAAATGAGAGTGTCCTCCAGCTCACTTGATGTAATACCTACAAAGTATTTACTGAAAGTAATAGATTCTGTTGGGCCCCATTTGATCTCTGTTTTCAACAGCTTCCTATCTACTGGTTGTGTCCCTGATTATTTTAAAACGGCTTGCGTGAACCCACTTTTAAAGAAACCTGGTTTAGATCCCTCCCTCCCACATAATTTTAGACCAATTTCAAAACTGCCTTTTATTGCAAAGATTTTAGAAAGAATTGTGTCCAAACAGCTGCTCACTGTGCTGGAAAATAACAAATTATTTGAAAAGTTTCAGTCTGGTTTTAGGAAGTACCACAGCACTGAGACTGCCCTGTTTAAAGTCACCAATGACCTTTTAATGTCTGCTGATGAAGGTATGTGCTCAGTCCTTGTACTCCTGGACCTTAGCGCTGCTTTTGACACCATTGATCACAACATCATGTTAGACAGACTGAGGCACTGGGTGGGGATCTCTGGTACTGCCCTAGAATGGTTTTCATCCTACCTGTCAAATAGGAAGTTTTGCATGTCTGTAAACAACTATGTCTCCTCATTCTGTCCAGTTAAATATGGTGTGCCTCAGGGGTCGGTCTTAGGACCCATTTTGTTTTCCTTGTATCTGCTTCCCCTTGGACATATTATCCATAAACATGGCATTTCTTTTCATATTTATGCTGATGACACACAAATATACTTGCCAGTCAGATCCACAGACCCTGGAATGCTGAGTTCACTTAACAACTGCCTTTGTGAAGTTAAAAAATGGATGTCAAATAATTTCCTCCAGCTGAACTCAGACAAAACAGAAATCCTGGTCATCGGGTCTCTGGCAGTATTTGATTTGCCATCTGCTGGTTCCCTAGTAAATCACATTAAGCCTGTGGCAAAGAACCTTGGTGTTTGGTTTGATAGTAATTTAAATTTCGAGCAGCACACCACAAAGCTTGTTCAATCATTTCTGCATGTTTTTATCAACTTAGAAATGTAGCAAAAATTCGATCTATGTTAACTTTTAAGGACACCGAGACCATTTTACACACAGCCTTTTCACCTGTTTAACCCAAAAATCTATTGATCGACTCCAGACTGTCCAGAACTCAGCTGCCAGGCTTTTACCCAGAACAAAAAAATATGACCACATTACTCCTGTTTTAGCTTCATTATACTGGCTCCCAGTATGTTTTAGAATTGACTTTAAAATTCTATTGATTACTTTTAAAGCTCTTCATGGCCTCTCACCTTGTTATATTTCTGACCTTTTAGTCCCATACGCACCAGCACGTACCTTGAGATTCTCGGGCAGAGGTCTGTTGTCTGTTCCAGAGTCTCGACTGAAAACTAAAGAGGACAGAGCGTTTGCTGTCAGGGCCCCGAGGCTCTGGAACAGCCTGCCCGAGGAAATCAGGTCAGCTGAGTCAGTGAACTCTTTTAAGTCCCTTCTTAAAACATATTTTTATAGGAGAGCCTTTCCCGATCTTATTTGACTTTATTTTATCCCTTTTATTTTATTGTATTTTACTACTTTTATATTTATACTTAAACATGTATTTTAGTCTTTTCAATGTTTTCATGCTTTTATCTTGTATTATTTTTGTATTATTGTCTCTTGGGTATTATTGTCTTTACACTTGTTAAAGCACTTTGTAACTTGTTTTTGAAAAGTGCTCTACAAATAAAGATTATTATTATTATTTAGTGGGGACTAATTTCTGCGACGGATAAATACATACTGGTGCTCTAGTGAGCATTTGGTGCAGCAGGACAGTGGCTCAAACAAACTAGGTCAATTGATTGGTGGTTTGGATCTTTTCCAGGGGTTTGTTGGGAATAAGACAAATGTATAATATCCCCTGACCTTGCTATAGTTAGAATTATTCACTTGTTATTTCTGAGTCATGATACTCACAGTCTTCTTGCCGTTTTGGAGCCTGTTCAGCAGTAACCTGACTGTGTCTTTGTTCTGACTCAGTCCCATGGTGTTGAGGGCATCAAGAGCAGAGCCAGAGCAGCCCTGCAGGCGGAGTTCTGCCCCTAGAGCGGCCTGCAGGAAGTTGTTCTTCCAGATGTTCCTGGTGAAGAGCGGGATGGAGAGTGCCACCACGGCCCGGCGCTCCAGCAACGTCTGCGCATGCTCTTCTGACAGCTTGCTGCCAAACAAGAAAAACAGAAAAGATGCTCATCACATCAAAAAACTAAAATGAACCATCTACACCAGCAGGATTCTTCAACGTTTTTGGCCAGTGACCCGTGTTACAGCTCTGTGGACTGTGTGAACTGAGCGCCAGTGTGACGAGACTCAGACTTACTGGCTGCTCTTGGAGAGGGCGTTGATGTCAGGGAACAGTGAGGTGAGGCAGGTGGTGACGAGTGGAGCTTTTTCCTGGACCCAGCTTAGACAGCGCTGCCAGGGGAAGGACGACAGCGGCTTCTTGTTCGACACCTTCTGATGGAAGGGATTGTCCGTCTGCCTTGTCAGAGCCTTCATCTGCAACACCACCAGGAAACATCAAGAAACAATTACATAATAATAAAAAAACAAGTGCTATTTATTCAGACCTAAAGCAGGTTATGTTTGTCCTGGTCTACAGGTGTATCCACCAGGAGATCCTCTGTTCTCACCTCCTGTTTCAGCTGTTTGCTCCAGAACTCCATCATAGGCTTCCGCGCGCCTTTGGCAGACCATAGCATTTTGAAAGCGGTCTTGTAGCAGGACTTGCTCACCAGTAGCGCCGCTTTGCTTATCTTACCCATCCTGCGGCCTTTCTTCTTGTCTCTCATCTCTGACTGCGGTCACCACCAAGAACAGAAACATAAATAATCAAAGCTTCTTAATGCATCCCAAGTGTGTGAAACATGATCACACAATTTCTAGTCCACTGTATAGAGAATAACAATTCAGGAAATACTAAAAATTAGCAAAAACAGTGAACATTAAGCAGTTGCGGACACAGTGTAGTTTACTTGCTTTGCTTTTCTCGTCTCTTGATTTGTACCATGTGAACCAAAATGAGTTATTATATGGTATTTATATTTTACATTATTTAGTATTTTCATGCACAATAACACATTTATATTGTTCTTATGTTGTTTAGAGCAATGAGATAACTTCTGGCTTTCTTTCTCTGTATTTGGAAATAGAGGTGCAATTACGGAAACAGGTTAAAAATCCGGATAGAATATGTCTTTGGACGAGAATGAAGTCAACATGATGAGATAACATTTAGTAGGCTCTAAGTTAAAAGCGAATTTTACATAATAACGTGTTGTTACTTTCTGCTATCGGAAACTGTTCTCATCCTGTCTGCTCTCCCTGGACCCCCGCCCGGTTAATATATTCCCATGAACTGTTCAAGGACCTGCTCAACGGCCTATCATCCTCTGGACTCTCAGCTACGGTTCCCTCCTGCACTGCATTGCAGCCTCCAACCTGGTTCTGCAGCATCGAGTCTTCCAGTCTGCTTCGCTCTTACCCGGCTCAATTTCCGATCACTTCAACCCTGCAATAAATATTTCTCTTTTATCAAACTCCAGTCTCCTCGCTCTCCTCGCAGTCAAAGATTCGCTGTTAATTAGAAGCTCAAAAAATGACATTGGGGCCAAACCTAAAACCAACATGATGAGAAGTTTAAATGACCAGAATAAAGTTGGAATGATGAGAATAAAGTCAAAATGTGAAATTAAAGTTGAAATGGTACTTCAACTTTATTCTCATCATTTCCACTTTATTATCAAAATGCAAAATCAATAAAAATCTTCATCGTTTTTCCCCTTACTGTGGCACTAATACTCCGGTCGGATATTAGCTCTGTGACTTATAATAACACAGTGGATAGACAACCTGAGGCTAATAACAATGTAATATCGCATGAACTGTGATTCCACGGTTATCAATATATCGCCATACTATCAGTCACACACCTGTTTTTTCGTAGGCTTCAGCCACATGTACCGCTTCCCGTTCATTCTGCGTTTGCATTTGCTTCTGATGAACTGCACGCAGGTCTCACAGAGGAAGGACTTGTCCTGGACCGCAGAGTCCGGGAAGGCCCACTGCACGGTCTCTGGGGTGGTGAAGGTAAACACAGCCCTCCGGTTGAAGCTGCGGCCCTGCCGCTCGAACTCGGACTTGCAGCAGGAGCAGTTCCTGTCCTCCGGCCGCCCGGTACGCCGGCGTCCACGTCGCTGTACACCGGGGGAGGCAGTACTGACAAATTTAGGGGCTGCTGTCTTCTGGGAGTCCTCTTCGGTTAGCAGCGGCGGCGTAGCGGACGCTTCCACATCATTTCCAACGGGACAGTCCACCTCCGCACCCAAGGCCGGTTCGGGAAGTTCTACCGGCGCGCTCTGCTCGGGCTCAGCCGGTACATTAAAGCTGTCCTGCACGGGGAATCCGCCGTCAGTCCCCGGAGTACCGGAGGAGGAGGACGCCTCCGTGGAAGTAACGTGACAGTTACTGGCCGAGGAGTGAGCATAGTCGTGCTCGGACGGGGGGCATGTTTCCTCCTCGTTCACCGCGTTGGTCTCGGTGTTTTCACTCGCCATAGTGCGCGGAGGGGCTCCGGTTTTTGTCTTTTAGTCGAAATACGCAGAAAGAAATACTCTATCGGCGATCATCGCTCTTCGCGGAGCAGAAAGCTAATAACAGTCCGAGCTAACACCGGAGCCCGCCACAACAAAGTCCGGGACTTCCAGACATATGTTTCAGAGTTAAACTCTCCAGGACGCTTTAAGGGACGTGTGCAGCAACGTTTTTAAATATCAGAAAGCGACAGAGACCAAATAAAGACAGTTGTTGAAGTAGGAACTGTTCCAGAGCAGATGGAAATCACAAGAGTTGTAACCACTAACCAACAGGATGTAGCCGTTGATATACACAATAGTTTCCGTGTTTCTGTTGACCGGCAGGCTGCTGTTGCTGCTGGTGGTGGCGCCCCCAGGCGGTGGGAGGCAGACACGACACGTCTCTTTCATACAGGACAGGCAGATGCAGCCGCTGAAGAGGTGAACGTTGTAACAATAAATATACACACAAACAACAACGTTGCTCATATCACGGTGAAACTTTACAAGCTGAATGTATAAATGGAAGTTTTTAATTACAAATTTTAAATGTTTTTTATTTGTTAATATGCCAAGTAGGTAGTAAATTTGTATATCACACAAATCCATTTTCCAGCATGTTCCTATGCGCGATTGATCGTTTAGTTGTTTGGTCTATAAAATGTCAGAAAATGGTGAAAAAGGTCTAGCAGTGTTTCCCAAAGCTCAAGAAGACATCCTCAAATGTTTTATTTTGTCCACAACCCAAAGATACTCAGTTTATAGTTGACAACTAATCGATTAATCGTTGCAGCTTGTTGCATTCTCCATGTTACACCCCCCCCTCTGGTCATGATGTAGATTTATCAGTATTAGGCTATGTTAGGTGCAGTTGACTTCATGTGGACACAGGTGCGTTCAAGATGACTGCAGGTGACCTTTTGCTGAGGACATGCCTTATTTTAACTCCAGCATTCAATCACTTTAGGTGTGTTTGATTTCATGCGCCGCTGCGTGCCGCTGACTATCAATGGCGAAAGTCAGCCACAGTCATCTCGAACGCACCTGACTCATGTTGTGTCTGTTTCGCAGGTGTTTTAAGTCCAGGCTGGGCGCTTGGCTCTCTCTCTGGTCCACCTTCCAGTCATGACAGCAGCAGACTGACAGAGACTGCTACCAATTTGAATTCTTTTGATTGTTGTTTTTTTCTTATATTTCTGATGGGACTGGTAGTTCAGGTTTCATGGCTTTATTTCTGTTTGTTTAGTTTAGGGATTGGTTTAGGGTAGAGGGGAAGCCTCCAGATCCTATGGCCCTTTGTGGGCTGGTCTGGAGGGCTTCCCTTCTTTTGTTTGTTTTGGCCAGCCCAACAGACTTAATATTTAGCTTGAGTTAAATTTTGACTTCTTTTATGGTTTATTTAATAAACCTGTGTTTTTTTTGGTACAGCTCCTGGACTCTTTGATTATGTTTGACCACCTTTAAGCTTTGGTGGGGGTCTTAACACAACTCTAGTTAATATACTCAGATATTACACCCTATACTCATTTGAACAAATAAGTAATGTAATTGTAAATTTATAAATGATAAATACTGTAAATTATAACTTAATATAGACTATTAATAATACAGAAAAGAACAGACTACTTTTCCTACCATTAATAAAATACATTGATTGTTTTAAGGTTACTCCAAACTTTTTTTCTGGGGTTGGTGGTTTTAACAACCTGGAGGAGTTTACATTTTACAATTAAAATCTTACACAATGGTGGCTATTTTATAGGCCAAATTCCAGTATTTCTAGATTTTCTAGACAGTATTTCAATTTTAGTATTTAGAATTTCATTATACATTTACACATAAAGATGAAATGTTAATGTATTTGACAGAAAAGACAAGATAGAACTTTATATAAATAAATAATATAAGGGGTACTTATGATCTCAGTGTTTCTAAAAATCCTCTCAGAATCAAAAAGAGGTTTATTGCCAAGTAGTATTTTACATGTACAATATGGTGATAAGTGATAAGAGGGCTAGAAATAAATGAATTATAAAATGGAATAAACAGATATGCAAGTTATAAAAGAATTATAGAACTATGTGTAAAAGAAAAACACAACAATGTAGCAGTTACTTACATGTGCATTGCTCTGGGGTCCAATCCATCGCAGGGGGAGAGGAATTGTATTTTTATAAATATAAAATTGACAACATATAAAAATATAATATATATATATATATATATAATATGTACCATATTGCACTTTCTACAACTCTGAAAAAATCACTATAATACATGTATTTAATATTATGTATAAAACATTTATTTTATTGTTCTCACAAAAACTCTTGATTTATCAGGTTTTATTTTGATAGGTCTTACCGGAAGTTTCCTCACAGTCAGTGGCGTAGCTAATAACTGATGGATGTAAATGGATGGTTAGCTCGGAGCTTTTACCTCCAGGTGTGTGTGGTGGTAAAGCAGCAGTCGGGAGTGATGGAGTGGTTATAGGTAAGACCGGTAAGACTTTTTAAAAATGTTATTTAACCTGTTAAAGTGACGGTGTGACGCATTCACGTCATGCTAACTAGCTAGCTCCATTCAGCTGCAGAGGGAGACAGCAGTGTTCAGCTAATCATCACACACAAAAGGTTATCTTCACCTTCACGTGTTTTTAATATGCTGCTTCATCTTCATGTGTCAATATTATGTAGAAAAACATTTTATAGTATGACGCCGTCCAGCATCAGAGACTCTTAATCGAACACCGGAAAATCAGCTGACTGTGTCAACAACAGCTGATCATCACAGTAGAGTTTGGATTTTATTGCTCTGGATTCAGGCGCACCTTACAAACTGGTTACTAAACTGATAGGGCTGCAATGAAAGATTATTCCCATTGTCTGAACAATGTCTGAAAATGATGATGTCACAGTTTCCTAAATTTACAAATTACTTGTTTTTGTCCAACCATTAATCAAGAACCCAAATATATCCAATTGATAAAGACCCTTTCAATTTGAATACATTTCCCCTACATGTTATGTTAACCTGTAGTGTTGGGGAGAAACTATAGTTACATGTAATTTAGTTATATAAATTAAATAAATGTATCCTATAATCCATAACAATTACTGGGGAAATGTGTAATTAAATTACAGTTATGAAAATGTTCATGATTAGTTTGGTGGTTACATCTAAATGTTCTATAAAAAGCTAGGCTATATGTTGAATAATACTTTGTTGTACGTTTTTCATGTGCACAATGTCTTCCTTTGCCATTTCTAGCCACAGCTGTTTAGTAACGTTTGATGAGACTCCCATCTGCCAGCTAAACTGCCTCTTAAGCTGTCTTTTCAAAATGGTTAACAGCTGAAAACCTTCACTAGAAATTTAGAAAATGAATCATAAAGTAATTAAATGTAATAAGGTCCATAACTTTGATAAAGTGATTGAAATAATTACACTACTATTGCATTTTAAATAGGGTAACTTGTAATCGGTAGCCTATTACATTTCCAAAGTAACCCTCCCAAAACTGTAAACCTTTATGAGAGGATGTTAGATTGTGGTTTGATTAATCAGAATGACCAACTATTCAAGAGACAGGGGCCCTCAGTTGTCCCATATTGAACCACTACCCAACCTAAAGACATACCTTCTTCAATAATAAATGTAACACTATGGTTCTGATTATTGAAAAACTTATAAACAGCAAATGGGGAAACTTGAGTAATATTTGAGGTGAAAGGCATTTTCTTTGCAAACAAAAGTTTAAGGACAAAACATTACATTTATTCATTTAGCTGACGCTTTTATCCAAGCGACTTACAATTGCAATACACGTCAGAGGTCGCACGCCTCTGGAGCAACTAGGGGTTAAGTGTCCTGCTCAGGGACACATTGGTGCATGGGTCACAGTGGGGGTTTGAACCGGGGTGTCTCACACCAAAGGAATAGTCTTATCCATTGCGTCATCGCGCAAAAGTGTTTACTGAGGTAATAAATCAGATGAAAAGTAGGGTCATTTTACCATTATTTCAAATGGAGCCGGACTTCTTTTTGCAACCAGAAGTGTCGCCCCCTGCTGGTCGTTCAATAGAATGCAGGTGTCTCTCATTAGAGAAGCTGGAACCAGTGATTGTTTAGTATCTTTGTTTGAAGATAAACCCACAACCAACCTAACATCAGTTACATTACTTGCTGTGTCATTGTTTGATTTTTATCATGGTATTTGTTATGGTATTGGATTTCTCCAGAATCGCTTACCCCACAGTTAAAGGTACAATGTGTAAGGTATGGCCAGAATTTAATTGTAAAACATTGAAAAAAATTTACATTATCAACAGAGTAGTTTTCCAATCATCATGGGGGGAAGTGTGTCGAATGCTGAGCTGAAATCCATAAACAGTATTCTCATGTAGGTGTTGGTTTTCTCAAGGCGTATGAAGGCTGAGTGGATGGCAGTGGAGATGACATCCTCTGTGGATCTGTTCGTTCCTAAAGCAAACTGGTGAGGGTCCAGGCTGGCTGGGATGTTGTTCTTCATGTGCTGTAGAACCAGTACTTCATCAGAATGGGGGTGAGAGCCACAGGATGGTAGTCATTCAGACTGGACACAGCAGACCTTTTAGGTACAGAAACGATGGTGGCTGTCTTGAAGCAGGTGGAAACTCTCTCCTTAGACAGTGATATGTTGAAAATGTCAGTAATAACATTAACTAGCTGATTGGCACAGGTTTTTAGTACACAGCCAGGGATGTTTTCAGCCCCAGCTGATTTACTCATATTCACTCTCAGCAGGACTCCCCTCACATCTGCCGTGGATACTGTCAGTGGCCAGTCCTCTGGAGGTGGAGTAGACTTTACAGCTGACTCTTTGTTGAGGAGATCAAAGTGAGAAGAAAAGGTGTTAAGTTCAACTGGTCATGTGGCCTCACACATGATGGGGGCTCTCCTGCTTTTGTAGCCTGTGATGTATTTGATCGCCTGCCACATATGTTTGTTGTTGGTTGTGTTGAGGTCTTTCTCCAGTCTCTTCTGATATCTTCGCCTCCTTGATGCCAGTTTTCAGTCTTGGTCTGGCGGTGCTGAAGCTTTCTTGACATCTGACTCAAAAACCAGCCTTGTTGTCTCTGGATAGAGCCCTCACCTCTCCATTGATCCAGGCTTTCTAGTTTGGGAATGATTTTATTGTCTTAGTGATCACCACATCATCAACACATTTCCTGACATATGATGTCACAGATATATTCGGCTGTGGTTTTCCTGGGTGGCGGCCTCTCTCTGAACATGTGCCAGTCTGTGCATTA